TCCTCTTCAGCAATTATTCTTAAGCACCTTTTCCTGCTTCTGTAAACAAACGAGCAACAGCAGTGAACATCCAAGGCTCTCTCTTTGGTTCTCTGTCCCAGCTCTTTCCCAGTCCTAGCACTTTGTTTTGGGAAGAAATTAATATTGGCAGCCCTGCTAAGAACATGGCCTGTCTCATTAGGAGTTCTATGTCTGAGAGGGGGAATGGGAGGCAAGATTTGGAGAAAAGATCCGAGTTTTGCTATTACCTGTGGTTGATTCTCTTTGCACTCTCTCATCATTCATTCACTGCGTTAAGGATGCTATTTATTCTGCCTATTTATGTTAGTGTCTGTTTACAGAACTGCTGTTCATGAATTTGCCTAATTCCTTTCTGAAATGGTATATTCTGTCTACTCTGCAGCGTCTTGTGGTGAATCAAAGCAAGCTACCACTTGCTCTGGATAAGGATTATCCTGCTTATGCCTGTCAGGAAAGTTTCCTGACCTCTGCCCGGTCCTTAATATCGAAGGGAATGGTTTATAAAGAAATACTAGGAACACTTTCAAATGGAAGTCAATGACTCAGAACCTCTGAAAAATGCGATTGGTGAAAACTACTAATTGGGGAGCCCACCTATCTTCAATAACTACATTTGGCTGTTCCCACGCAAACTATTAGGTGCTCATTTACTGGACTGGTAAAGTTTGAATTGAACTTTTAATTATTTTTTTTTTTAATGCGTCCCTTCTATTTATCCATTAATATTAAATGTTCCCTAATAAATATTAAGGAATGTCAACAACAATTACACAACATGTATAATTGTTATTCTTTTCAGAAAAAACCCTTTTGTTCACTTCTTCATTTCTTTTGAATGGGACAGGTTGAATCAATTACCCAGTTCTTATTATTAGCAGAATACGCCCAAAGGTATCTTTCGAAAACATACCACAGTTTTGGACACCTAAATTAACCATAGGTAGAAATGAAAGCTATTCCCCAGGGATAATATACAACGATGAAATTAGAGACAAAAATTAAAAAAAAGTCAATCTGCACATGTGGAAAGCCAAGCATAATTCTTCTATTTTTGAATGAAATACATGTGCATTTTCCGTTAAGCTACACTATAACACACAGCACCTTTAGCCTCACACAAGGGTAATTCGATTTAAGATCATGGCTCATTAACACCTGTGCAGGAATTTTATCTGATATTGCATTGCAGAAACAGACACCGAAAGAATAATTTTGTCACCGTTTGAAAAGTTCAGCATGCTAATATGGCTGTGCGCTTCATGGCTTTCACCTTGCTTCTTGTTGCCAACTTTTTACTCACACCATCAGCAGTATCTATTCCGCTCAGGTAAAATAATTTTAATGAACATTGTGAGACATTTACCTCAGCTTTTGAAGATTTAGAGTTTGGGAAAAATGAGCAAACATGGTTTGATGTCACTCACGCATTAAGTACATCCACATGTTCCAATCTCGGATTCTTAAAGTCCAGGGTGTCAAAGCTGAGAAGGCTTTGCTGACCAAGTTTACTTTGTGCTGATTTGATTTTTCCTCACCTTTATTATTATGTGCATGCTTAGGGCCAACAAGAAGCTGATTAGACACTTTGCAGGTTTGCTACCCCTGTCCTGTATCTCGAAATTGCCTGCTCGGACTCAACACGCAGCTGCTGAGGAGTTTCATGACAAGAGCAGACACTGCCAACTGAAGATGCTACACTGTAGAGAGATTCTGCTGCCGCTTGCAATCTGGGTGGATTGTGGGCACACTCTATCAGATTAAGTGATTACCCAGAAGGCTGAATGATTTGAAACTGAGGGAACAGAACTCAGAGAAGAGTCTGTCTGGTAGGTCACATTTCCATATTTCAATGACAGTACCTGTGTAGAAACTGACTTTTAAAGTGAACCTTCTAAGATAAAATGAGAGTTCTTAAATAATATCTATATGTAGTTGTACTGAGATTGTTTTTATTTTAATTAATGTTTTACCAATTTTCTATTTTTTTTCCAGTAGTACTTCTTGCTCAGTAATGTGAATGGATTTAATACGACAATTATAAGTAAAGTCAATTCTTATGTTGTTACTGTCATTTTGTTAACTCATAAATCATTTTTCTTTGCAACCAAATGGGAAAGGTATAATGAGTGCTTAGTGTTTATAATTAGAGGTTGTATCTTGGTAATCATTCCACTAATGACTAAGAGTTAAGATTAGCCAAACCTTCATGGCAAAACAAATGAAGCATTTGAGCACATAAGAAACTAGAGGCAGAAAAGAGAGATGCAAAAAGAAACCAACAAAAGGAAAAGAACCTAAAAGAACCCTTGGCCATTTCAGAAATCTAGGAATACCTAATTTATAGCTGCTTGTGCATTTACTGGAAATATGACCTGAAACTTTTAGTTTGCTATTTATGATAATTTTCATTTTGTACATTCTCATGTCTGATTTAGTTCTTTTTTTCATGGTGCTAGTATCCAATGATTTTTTTTTCTTTCTTTCTTTTACTAAGACTAGCCTCAAAGATTTGTTCTCTTTATAAACTCACTAAGGTGGTTGTTCTATTTGAGACTACTATTTATTTGCAAAGGCTATTTAAATTGTGTGGAAATTTAAGATTTAAATTCTGCTCAGAAATAGAACCCTCAATCATGTCCTACTTGTTAACATAATTGATATGACTTGATGTCTAAATCCATGTCCAAAGCATTTTAATGCAACAGTACTTAGAAAGAGATGTGGTTTCTTTTCCTTTGTAAGATATTCAGTTATACCTCAAAAGTAATCTATTAATGGAAAATGCTCTTAAGATTTTAAGAGAAAATGAAGATAAATATTGGAAAATACTTCTGGAAAGCATCTAAAGTGTCAGTAAATGTTAATATAACACACCCTATTTACTATTTTCTTAATAACACATAAGAATTAATTGCTGTTTCCTTTTCCTCCACAGCCATAAAGTAGTGCATTTTGCAGTGGAGGTAAGAATAACCATCTCCACAACTCAAACTAGAAGAACTTCCATGACCTTCAATATCGGGAGCTAGAATCAGATGTTCAAGTGTTCAGCCAGGAGCTCTAGCTTTCCCACTTATCCTGAAAGAGAAGACCCCTGTGATCAGTCCTCACCATACTTAGGCTTCGATTATGTTTTGGTGTATAAATACTGGCCTAACTGAGAGGAGCTCAAACTTTCTCATCAATGTCCAGTAAAGATAGAGAAGAAGGGAACCTATTCAATGCTTGAGAAATAAAATTACTGCCTGCTTAATTATGCTCCTGCCTCACAATGATGGCCATTACCATGTTCTTCACTATATGAAAGTATTCTTGTGTGCTTGTATATTTGCCTGTTAATTTTTCCAAGAACATATTTCATACATGTATATATCAATTTCAAAATATAAAATAGCAGATACAGTATCTTTTCCCAAATAATAGACATTTAGTGTAAACATCTTTTCAGTAAGGCTACAGAGGTACTCCTGGTAATTGAGTCTGTATTTTTGTTCTAATATCAAAACTGCTTCTTAAAATGTCAGCACCTGAATCCACAAATATGTAGGCAAAGATGACTTTTCTTTCAGAATTAGAAACCTATAGAAAGATCAGGAGGGAGAACTGTCATATTGATGTCCACTGGCATCATATGAAAAAGCTTTCTGACAGCTTTATTTTGCCATCGGAGAGATTTACTCCTTGTCCCAGCTCATGAAAAGCTAGTACAGTACAAATGATTCTTTTTCTTGTCAAGACTCATATTCCAAGCTGCAGCACTACTAACCAAGCCTGACTTGTTATTTTTCTTGGAATCAGGTCTCAGTGGTGAGATTTAGCTGGGGAAAGCAGCTGTCAAATGTCCTTGTATGCTATTATTTGCTGGGTTTTAAAGTGAATTCATTAAAAAATCACCACATCCTCTTCTATCCTTAACAGCATGGTGTGCCAGACTTGCCGGCGTTGCAATTAATTGTGTACTATAAATTCACTGCATCATTTAAGGCCAAAGAACAGTGTCTTTGCTTAAGGTAATGCTAAGGGGAAAAGAAAAAGTAAGTATTTCTAAACAGTAAAGTGTCATTTGAGAGACAAAAAGAACATTTACAGACGTAAATATTCCAATAAAAAGGGATCATTATAATTTTTACCATGTGTACTGAAACAGTAGGCTTATGACATTTGCTCTGTGAGGAGGGCATATGGAAAAATCACAGTTAGAAAATGTAACTGCAGTCTGAATAGACTTTTCACATCTAGTACTACCCAAAAAAGAACAGGTGCCAGCAGCAGCAAAGATGGGAAAGTCTCACAACAAGCTTACAACTCACCCTGAAGTTTGCCCAGCCAGGTCATGACAAAATGCATATGTCCATGTTACAGTCTTGCAAAGAACATGCTAACAATACATCAAAGTATTCCATGATTTTGCTAAAGTGGGGGAATGTTTTTTTGTGATAAGTGTATAAACTTATCTCTACCCAGACTTGATGGATGGTAAACAGCATACACACATACATGTAGCCATTAACACTGAAATTTTGCAGGTTGATGCAGCTAAAGACCCCAATTTATTTAACTTCCTAAAAAGGATACAAAAAAGCCCAGAAACTCATCTATGATATTTCAGCAGTAAAGTGATGCATTTTGAAGTTTTCTGTAGCCATAGCCTCATTTAATGTCAGAGTCTCATTGGGAAGATTTCAGAAATTATGGTTATCAGCAAAACAATGACTGTTGCAGTTCGAGGGGTATCTGGAGGGTCACTGCCGGACACTCTATGAAGGCTTTCAGGGCTGGAATCACCTCCCTGCTGCCCGTCCCTCGTGGCAGGGACAGGCGGTGGAGGTACTTAAGCCAAAGAGACAGAGACCAAGCAGCACGCAGGGAATCCAGCAGTGAAGAAGGGCCTTTATACAAATTTCCTGCAGTTTATAAGGGCTGCTGGGCCAAAGAGGGGATTGGTCATTTGGCTAGCCAATGCAAGGAGATAATATAATAACTATGGCAACACAGAAACCAATGACAGACAAGTGAATTAACAGCTTCCAAACCCCAATAAATGACTACACTTATAAATAATGTGGTTTACAGGGATTGTAAAATCAAACTGAAATTATTACATCAAACTGAGTCTAAAAAGAGGATAATTTATGCTGTCCTTCTATACATTAAGTGGCAACAGGGCAAAAGCAAAAGTAAGTTCTGTAAAAAGTTATGGCAATTACAGTGGTATCACAGAATCACGTTATGATCTCATTCTTAGATTAATTTGCTTGCTGCTAGTATATAATGAAGACAATCATAACATTCCTTAAATACATTTAGAATAGCTAAATAATTCTTGGGATCTTGCTTCACACACCCACATAGGAGGGCCTTTAACCTATGCGGAGAAGAAAATAAGTAACGGTCTTATGTGTACCTACATCATTCAACACAGACTGTCTAGCCTACATGGAGCTAAATATGACAACTCCTTAAGAGCTGATGCCATAATTTTGTTAACAAAGGAACTAAAACTAACAAGATGCCAAGGTAAATTAACCTACACTCTGGGAGAGCAGAACTGACGAAAGCTTTTTCTCCAAGTGCTCTATCCTTGGAGGTCCCATACCACTTGCAACCATTTTTCCTTTCGAAATGTTGGTCCCTGCCCCCAAGCAGTAGTTTAAGTTGAAAGAAAAAAGCCATTATAAGAGCCAGAAGGACTTCAGGCTTCTCTCTACCCATGAGAACTTAATATCTGGCACTTCATAAGGAACATGGACCATGGTATTATTGGAAATTGGTTTTGGGGAGCACAAGGGTTTTCTTTTGTTGATGAGACTGCTGCAGCAGCTGCTGCTGCTGTCGATTTTCTTTCCCCACTGACCCTTGAGGAGCCTCAAAACAATCAGCTTTACTTCTTCCTTTCCATTGTGCCTCTGCTGCTGTATTGCAAGGCATGAATTCTTGGTAATAACGCTGATATTCCTGTGTCAGATCACGTCGTTTAAGAAAATTCATCGTTTTTTTTTTCTTCCAATTACACAGTGTGCATGGACAGTTATGAAGACACAACTAGCACTAACATATGAATACAGACATTAGCCTGCTTGCTTGGTAGCACCACCACTCCCAAACTGCTCATCATTCCAAATCTGGAGGGTATCCTATCCTTTGGAACTAAAAATGACACAAAGGTATTACCATCACCTGTAATGTGCTGTGTTCCATACAATAGCAGTGGATTTCAAATGAGGGAAAAATGACCCAATGAGCCTCAGCACTGAGGCTTACAACAGACTGACTATCAAGCATACTCAATTTGAAATAAAGGAAGCTACACGACACAAAAAACATCATTCTGGGACCAATAAAGATTAAAGCTGGAGGTCCAAAACCAAGCCATCTGTTAAGGAGAAGCCGTTTGAGACAGAAATGGAACATGTAAAAGAATAACACTCTCAAAGAAGCCCTCTCGTCAGAATGCATTTTCATGTTTCCATGTGTCTACAATCCAAACCCTATAATTTCAAAAGGCTTTTGCTGTTTGAGATCAACCTGTACATTTTTACAGACTACTATTTCCTCTTATTAAAAATTATACAAGTGTATGAATAATCTTTTAAAGTGTGTGCTTAGTGTACACAAATTTCAGAAATGGTATGACACATTAGCAGTGATGATGTTGCTACAAAGAAGTCATTTAAGGTGATACAAATTTCAGTGTGAAAGGAGACAAGCAGGGAAATGGGGTAACTGACTTCAGATGTGTGTTGTGTTATCTTCAACTTACTCTAGAGAAAGCTTTCCTTGCTTCCAATGCTGGGATGTGAAACAAAAATACCCAGAACACTCTTTTTAGCTGATCATTTGTCAGACTTAATGAAGGGCTTGTGTTTTGCTATTTACATGATTTTTCTTCTAGGTCAGGTTTTGGTCTCATGGCTACTGTAAAAATCTATGTTTCTATTGATTTCTTGGAAACAGACACACATATTGATCAGGACTGACAAATGGAAATGTTAGGTGTTGTGTTTCACATTGTCAAGATACCACCTCCTGCAGTCTGAGCTCAGGGCAGTCTTTTCCTCTCTGAAGCTTGTTTCATCAGTCCATTCAGGCATATTAATTCTCAGACATGAGTTTCAGATTTCTCTACAGGAAAACAGAAATTGGCTAATGATGCACTTTATGGAAGATCTATTAAGATATTATGATAATCTCTTAGTCTGTGAGTTGAAATGACATTTCTTAACTATCATTATATACTCACAGGGCAGAGGAATTACACCGATGAAGTGCATGGAGTTCTAGTTGCAGCATTAACAGCAGAAACAGAAATCCAATTTCACTTGCTGCTGAAAAACTTGAAAATCCTACATTACTGTACTGACATGAAGACGAATTTCCCTTGCTTGGTTTGACATAGTTTAAGTCCCACACTACAGAGAGATAATGACATGTTGGTGAAGATAAAAACATCAGTGTTTTTTCCTGCGGTCAATTCTTTGGACTCCTTTTGCTCCAGCATGCAGTTTTCTTTTTTAAGGACAAGAAGTGTACCTCCCTGCTTGCAAGGTCAGCTTGCTAAGACAGTTCTTTGAGAAGCCTCAGTTGACTCTGAAACTTCTCCAGAAAAACCTGGAGAAGCTTTCAGCAGAGGCTCCCTCCCAAACAGCTCTGCTGGGAAACCTCACTGGGAGCTCGTCCCTTTCCTCAGGAGCTCATTTCCAGAATGTTCCCACATGAGCAACACTGAAGCTGCATTTCAGCCTTGGACCTCTGCAGTTTGGACCCAGGCCCAGTGGATTGCCTTCTGGCCTGATCTTGGACCTACCTTGTCAACTTCCCAAGTGATTGCTGGCCTTTTTCTGAATCTGGTAATTGTTTCTGACCATGACTTGATATGGAAATACGTTCTTCAAATGCCAATTATTGAGAACAAATAACCCTTGGATAACCCTTGATTCACACAATATGAAGCAATTTACACTGGGAGAAGTGTTTTGAATGTTTTGAATTAGGTGCAGCAAATGCTTTTTCTCCAGTTAATGCAAATCCTCCAATTCTCTTTTATGTACAAAGTTCACAATCTGGGCAAACTCCAGTACTTATTATTTTTACCTTGTCTTTTACATTAAATATATCTTTTCTTAAACTAACTTGCAAGATGATCTTAGAGGTCTTTTCCACACTTAATGATTCTGTGATTCTATCCTCTGAACAATGAGTACACATGTTTACTGAAAACACATCTCAAAACCCACAGAATTTTAATGCATTTTATAATTTAGCTGTGGGGGAAAAAAGCACAAAAGATTGAGTGAAATTTTAATTAAGAGATTTGTACAATGCAAAACTGATACCGGTGCTCAGTAAACCAATGAAAAATCAATAGATGTCTCTCAAAATAGAATTTGAGACAGGAAACAATCATTGATGAAGCTCTAAACAACATGCAGTAAGAAAAAATTTCAAATATCACTGAGGAGAATTGATACAGACAGACCAAGTTGGATCATTTCATAAGCTCAGCATTAAGCAAACTCTAGGGACAAATGAAAGGTCAAATACTTGGAAACAAAGAATTCAGGCAGTACTCTTCAGGTGGGGACACAGGCCTGTCCATGAAAGCAAGGACTCAAAAGGATTTGAATATGAACACCTCTATGGGACTGAGAGAATCTAAAAAAACCACACATAATTTGGTTTCTTTGTCAAAAAAACCACATAAACAAATCCACTCCACCCAAAACAGACAGCAACAAGTCTGAAACAGATATCACGTAATGTATTTTCAAATGTCACGTTACTGTCATTGAAACAGAGTGCCCATCCCTTCTTGCCATGAAGAATGAAACATGGAGAGAGACTCAAGAAAATAGACTGATAAAGCTGGTTTTGACTCAACTTATGAGTCAAAAGCATTTTGCAAGTGTGCTGTCCTGCTGAATCCTGCTTATCACTCAAAGTTTCTCCCTCACTGAACAGCCTTCACAAATCCCAGTGCACTGCCAGTGATGCCAGCTCTAGAAGTGATGTTTGGTATAAGAGTTTGAAAACCCTGGAGTAAAATGGTAAAAAGCAAACTTGGTTACATTCTCTAAATACCTAGAGGGAAAGTAGAAGTTTCAGAAATTGTTATGAAATTTCTCACTGTAGCAGGCAAAGCATAAAATCAACCCACCAGTAGAAGATAAAGCCAGGTACTTTTAAGCTAGAGATAAAGTTCAGTGAAGGTCATAAACCTTTGGCACAATTTGATTACAGTTATGTTAGTAGAGTTATGTTAAATTCTTTATGACCAAAAATTTGCACAGTGAAAAATGAGATCTTTTCTAAAACATATGCTCCATATAAACAGAAAATGCTATGCATGTTTTAAACTGGAGGTCAGAATTAATGACTGTAAAAATCCCTTCTGGCTTTGTAATCTACTTTGCAAATAAACCAAAAGTTATTTGTAGCTCTTGAAAACTACTTGCAACTTTAGTGATGCAGAACATGACTGATTTTCCACTTGTACTTGGGATGTAATTAATAAGATGGATACCCCAGCATTTCTGCACAAACAGCACTGGATTCTTGTTGTTTTGGAAGTGGAGCCTAGGGTTGCTATTTTCATGGTATGCCACACTACAAGAGTTCTGTCTCTGACAAGCTCCTTTTTCTCTCATGTTTCACTATAAAAATTTTATCACTGTCCAGAGAACATATATGCTCCAACAACATGTAGCACTGCCAAGCCATGGAGATGCACAAAGCCTTCTCCTCAGTCTGCTTAGGTTGCATCTAACCTTCAGTTCCTGGTCAAAATTTGCTTCCTGCATTAGTCCCAAAGAAACAGAATAATGTAGAGTGGAAGGGACATCTGAAAGCAATTTCCTACAAACAGCTGCTCAAAGCAGTGCTAACTTCAAGCTTAGATCAGAGCACTTACAGACTTGAAAAATCTCCAGAGTTTGGGATTCTGTAGCCCTTCTGGGCAGCTTGCTGCAATGGATCACTACTCTCACAATAAAGTATTATTTTTCTACTCTTACAATAAATATTTTCCCCCTAAGATCAGCTGGAATTTTCTTTGCTGTACAATGCCTCCTAGAGTTCCACCGCCTACCTTAGAGAAAATTCTACCTTCTCTAAAACCACCCCTGAGGTAATGGAAGACAGTGATAAGTTCCCCCAAATAGCTTTCCCTTCTTCAGTTTGAGCAAGCTCAGCCTTCTCTGCTTCTACTCGTACATTAACTTCTCCAGTCTCCAAACCATTTTTCGTGGCCCTACCATCGGACTCGTTTCATATTGTAAATTACCTCTTATGCTGAGGACCCCAAAACCTGGATTGTTAGACTATATAGGAATCCTGTCAGCCCACTTGTACAGCATGTAATACTTCCTCTGAGTGACAGTCTAGCATACTGACCACTCTGGTATTATCTATGCAATAGCTGAGAGTACATTCTGTCCCATCGTTTTTGACAAACAAATTAACTAGTATTATCTTAATACTAATCCCTGAGGAGCACCACTGACCACCAGGTGGACTCTGAACTGCTGGCTGTGACACTCTGAGCCTGGCTGTTTAGATAGATTTCTGCTTACCTCATAGACCAAAACCCTGATGGATTTCAGGCAAGAAAGCCCGGTATGAGATTCCTTTTTTGGTTACAGATATTTACAACTGATCTGACAGATTCTTTGGTGTTTGAAGAGTCCTAGGTTTTCATATACAATCCTTTCTCACATTTTACTTTTTGTGTGACAATTGACATGCTCTGTTTGGAAGAATTAATCCTATAAATCTGATTAGATTAGAAGGTACATGTAACTGCCAAAGTTATGTTGAGTGCTGTTTTTCAATATCTTATTCCTACAAGTGAATGACTTAATCAAGATTCTTGTGTGACTCATTAAGGTTCTGAGGTTTTTCCATTAATATGAACTCAGACCTACTTGCCTCTAACTTTTAACTTTCCATCTGCACTAAAAGTCTGAGAAAAGACCACTAAAATTGTTTTAAAAGCCTTTGAGGGATATACAGGATGATCTCTGAATTAAATGCACTTGCAATTGTGTGCACAGAACTGCTGTTTACATTATAGTTAGTCTATATTTTATCCCAATCCAGCAGAAAGATGCAATTTGAGAGAAGTTTTAGAATTTTGGACTGTCTCTGTGCAATTCACTGCTAGCCTGTAGATAGTGATCAGCCTAGGGAGAAATTGAAAAAAAACCCTATTTTGATGTCCAGCAAGAAGCGCTAAAACCAACTGTATAGTGTGGTTTTACTGGGTGAAATCCAACAAGATCTGTAAACTGTGAGCCTCGTAATGAGTAACTTAATTAGAAAATTGATTGTGTGCTCTGTACGAAATGTATATTTTATTTATGACTTGTTGTGCTCTCTTGTTATGAACAATGACCATGTCCTCAGCTGCTGTCTCTTCTTCATCTCTTAAAATCTGTCAGTCTCTGGAAAATAGAGGTATTGTACAGTCTGATCTAACAGAACTGGAAGCTGTGAGTCTGCTTTACTGATGGATGATCTGAACAAAATACTACTAGGGAAATTGTGGCTTCAGACTGGACATATTTATTTCAGAAAAAGAAACAGACTGGAGGATGGGTATAGTGTAAAGCAGTAAAAAGTAGTTTGGCATTATAATGAAGAATTTTTCAGTTATTCCCAAGAAATAAACCATTACTCCAGCAGTTCAGTTCAGTGCTTCTCCAGCTGTGAATCAAATACTCTTCTTAACATACTTGGAATTAACTATGAGGTAGAATACACTTTTATCTGTGTGTTACCCTGTGATAAGGTATGAAGAGAATGATTGTGAATAAGCTGGAAACCAAACTCATCAAGATGAACTTTATTTGTTATTTTTATATAATCCATTTCAAACTGCTTAGATCTATCATACAATTACATAAGACTAGCTTTAAGACTCCTAGTACCAGAGCAGAAATAGTGCAAATGCATGATGGAAAAGGTACTGATTTTGCATGAACTCCATCTGCCAATTGCTGTAGTTTAATCATAGCTGTCAAATAAGTACCACACAGCTGCTTGCTCATATGCTCCCTGCCTTCAGTTGGATGGGGGAGAGAATAAAAAAAAGTTAAAACTTTTTTTAAAGGTGAGACAAGAGCAGTTCAATAATGGAAATAATAATAAAACCACCACCACCAATAATAATAATGTAATGAAAAGGGAGACAGCAAAAAGAGAAATAAGAATAAAACCCAAGAGAAATGACTGATGTCCAATTGCTCACCACCTGCTGACCAATGCCCAAACCATCCCCGAGTAGTGAATGGTATCTCCAGTCAACTCCCCCAGTTTATATATTGACCATAATATTCCATGGTATGAAATATCCCTTTGACCAATTTGGGTCAGCTGTCCTGGCCATGCTCCCTCCCAGCTTCCTGTGTACCTGCTCCCTGCAGAGCACAAGAAACTGAAAAGTCCTTGACTTAGGGTAAGCACTACTTAGCATCTACTAGTGAGTTATCAACATTATTCTCATAGTAAATCCAAAACACAGCACTGTACAAGCTACTAGGAAAAAGAAAACCTCTATTCCAACTGAAACCAAGGCACCAGTTCAAATTGTCCAGAGAAAATAGTTGATTAACTTTGTCTAGGCAGGCTTTATGGTTTATCCAGTACTGCCTGTCTACGCAACGCTAACTTTGTACCAGCTGAGGTACCACCTGACATCTGCTCTTCTGCAGGTGACATCAAACTAACCTGAGTGCATGAAACTGTTAGCTTTAGCTGTATTACCATCTTCTTAAGAAAATGAGATTCAGAGATGCTCACCTGCCTGAACTAGATTAAATATACATTTCTGGTTCATCCAGTACTGCACAGATATGATATTAATGACTGTGAAACAGCTACAATCCTACTCATTGCCAAGTTTCCAAAACTCTATTCTTTGATCAGAAACAGACAGCATCATTGATTACAGCAAACAGAAATGATCTGAGAAAAAGTCTAAGTAAAGCTCATGGCTATAGTTCCAGCAGCAGGCCAGATGTTTGACTGACAACATAATAAAAAGAATGAAAGGAACATTTAAGCCAACATCTTGCTGGAAGATGTTATGGTGTATTACACAAGATGCCAAACAATAATTATCTACTAGAATATTATAAGTTGATATTTTGTTTTTGTAAGCTAATAGTTTTATAGAAATGCTCAGGTTGTTGTGATGCAGTATTTTCTTAGAATCTTGTAAGAGACAGTAAGGAAATTTGCTCTTTGCATTATTCTTTCAATATAGCATTTACTTCCGATGTAGAGTTGATCTCAAAATGAACACTGTTGCTTCAATTAGTGAGAAATGGAGCCAAAACTTGCCATTGTGGGGAGAAAACACTGCAGGCAAAATCAATATTTTCTTCTGGGGAAAGGGTAGAGGCAGAACACACATATGTACAACTTATGTTGATAATTACAGGGATCAGAATTGTTTTTCTCTGCAATCCCTACAGCCAGCCATTCACAATGGGTTTTCTGCAAGTGGAATTTCAGGACATTTCAGATGAGGCACTAGTTCCCTCTATGTTACAGGGAAGATGACACTAATATCTGCACAATGAATTATGGGGTGCTTCTGACAGTAGATGAGTTCCACCAGACTGAAAAAATCTCTGCATCACTGAAGTATTTCAGATAGGTGATAGCAAAAGATCAAGTCCTTTGGAGGAGACAATATTTTCTCCTATGTGCTACAATAAAGAATAAAGACGGAACATAATATATATATTTTTCTATACACTTACTGCCCACTAAAGTGGCAAAATCTAACAGATAAAACATGATACTGTTATTTATAAAAATATTAGAAAACAAAATTTTTAATTAAGGGATGCAATGAGCGAAACACGAAAATATGCATTTAATACAGAACAACTAAAAATATGGTTACTTGAATGATGCTTAACTGGCAATTAATATATGGCATACTGTTCAATTAACGTCTGCTGGACAATTATTGTCCTAGCTGCTCCACGCTTGGGTCACTGCACTTCAAGATTCACAGAATCGCTTGTTATTACAGATGTGACCACTTGCCAGGATTCAACTGTGAAGAAAGTTGATAATGGGCTCAGACTAAATTTGAAACAAATTAAAAGATTTGGCCATGTGGTTCTAGGTATGTAAGGGAATAAGCTGGTGACTAGAAAGTTCTCACTGATAAAACTCAGCATTCTTTTAAACATTTGTTTAAAAAGTGTTTATTTTCTTCTTGAATTCTGCATCTAGCCTCCAAGTAACTTTTTCCCCCCTACTACCTTTTATCTGCCTTATCTCACTTTTACCTCTGGGTTGTTTTTTTTTTTGTTGTTTTTTTTTTTTTTTTTTTTGGGGGTTTTTTTTTGGTTTTTTTTCTGTGAAGTATGGGATTTTTTTAGTCAGAGAGAGATGAGAATTAAAAAGGAGAGAGGTGCCATATAAACACAAGGGAGAGACAAATTGTCATAGGTCTCTGCTTATCTATTTAGGAAACCTTACACAATGGCGAAGGAATCAAAGCTGAAATGAAGTAATTCCTTATCAAAATAAGGGTCTTGTGTCTCATTAAATTTCTATATGGAGTATTACCACGTTCCAAAACAAGGCAGACAAGACAAAAACACAAAATAGATCACTGATAGCTCAATGGATTCCAATATATAAATGTGTGTAGGTACGTATGCATATAAAAATATGTATTTGTTCCAGGTATGTACATATATGCATATATAGTTGTGTATTTAGATGCATACATGTATGCAGATACTTATATTTTTAGCTTATGCACATTTCTAATTTATTTTATTTTGCTTTATCAGCTAACATGTGGTCTATTTTGTTTGACAAGAAATGTCTTTCCTTCTGGTAATTCTGCACTGCCTAATAGCATCTGTCTGTCTTTCTGTTCTGGCAGCCCCAGTCTGACAGCACAGTGAATGGCAATTTCAGTTACAATGTTCAGCATGAATAACAGAAGGGTAAAACAATATTCTGAAAACTTCTCCCACCACACCTCCACCAGCCCAGCTCAATGGCCATCTGGAGCACTTGTGTGACAGAGGAGAGAAATGCTTGTACTTCAAGGAGCTCATTCTAATTCCTTGTTTTAGGATGTTGCCCAGAAAGAACCGAAATTCAAAAAATTATAGCTCTGCAGTAAGTATTATGACTTCAGTTTCCAATTGTTTTTAATAACTTTTAATAACAGGGGCAACAAGGAAATGTGAAAATCTCTCTAACGATTCCCAGGCCTCTCAAATTGAGGACTTGCTTTTGTGCACTAAGCCCCAGCACAATGTGATTTTAATTCGGGTGCTCAGAAAGGCTTAACGCTTTGATAAATTTCTTCCACATGTACACTGTGTTAGCTATGCACAAACCCTATAACTTCACTGATTTAAAAGTTCACTACAAATTAAGCTTCAGAAAACAAAATAACACGCCAATCCTGCACATTGCTGAGTAGGTGTCAATGCAAAGCACAGATACAGGACAGGAAACTTGCTCTATGGTTCTCCAGGGTAAGCTGGAAGAGTCAGGGAGACCACAATTGAAATCTAAGTCGCCAATGCCATGATAAAACAAAACACCCCACATGTTGGTATAAATGAAAGAGAGCTTCCAAGAGATGCATAGTGATTCTTTCAGTTTCAATGCTTGGATCCTTCATTACCAACTAAAATTCAAAACCAGCAACTGGCAAAGGGAGAGAAAGGGGAAAGGAAGCAAGGGAGAAGAGGGAGATTGACTGGAGAGGAACTAGTGGATAGCAATGATATAATCAGAGGTCCAGAAAACACGACTTACCCAGAAGAAGAAATTATTTGTCAGTACTTAGCTTAAAGAAGAAAAGACTAACGGACATGACAACATTTTTTGCTTGCAAAACAGACTTCCACAAAGCTAGGAGAGCAGTCTGTATTACACACAAGTAGTGGGCAGGCAAAGAATTAAATTGGAGCAAAGAAAATCCAGAAGAGACCTCAGCGAAACTGCCTAATGGTAAGGACAGTGAAGTCCTGGAACAGGTGATCTGGGGAGGTGGTGGTGCCCCTGCATCAATGGTGAGCTCTATTGTTGCATCAGAGAAATATGTGTCAGAGAAGACAAAGGAGCAGCTGTCACAAGAGGTACTAGAGGAGTTCTTAGAGGTCTTTTCAACATTACTGTTCTGTACCTTATTACCATACTGTAAGCATGAAAGACAGTGGAGAAAACACAATCCATTAAACTAATGAAAATCTTGCCTGCTTGTTTTTTTCTTGATTAAATACTTACTGACTGCTTAAGAACAGACAGAAGTACGTCAATTTGAATGATGTTGGCTTTCACTTATCCACAAATAAAGCTTTCCAGCTGGTATCTACATCCAGATCTCACCACAAGGCCTATCACATAGTTCCCCAGTTCAGCTATGTCACAGAGGCTTAAAGCAAATCCAGAGCTGCTTAGTCCTGAGGCTTCTGCTCTTTCTTGTAAAGCTTGATGCACACTGGCTTGCTTGTGGCTCTGCTTTCTTTGCTAAGTGGCATTTGATACTATCCATTAGCCTTCTTTACATTATTTACTGATGAGCGTAAGAGCACCTATGTCATGTACTCCTTCCCTTTCATCCACTGGTTAATTATGACCAAAATACAATCTCTGATTCAATATGAATATCTGAGCCAATAAGAGTCACGAGAACAATCTCCAAAACTGTGCTCATGCATGTTCATCATTCCTCTGAGATAACATTGTCTTTGCCAGGGCCTAACTACACATGGCCACTCGGAGACCTCAACGCCCATCAGAGACTCTTCTGTATCAGGACACTTATTCAGCAGTGAGAATTCAAGGCTATCTGACCAATGAACCTTTTCTCCCCAAAATACTCTCAAAATCAAACATTAAAGAGTCCTATTTAGAATTCGAAAGAAACAGACCAGTTTTTCAAATAATACATTATGCATGTGTTAAATGGTATGTGGGAATTCTATTATATTTCCATCTTTCAGTAGTTTAAAAATCTATTCCATCTAGAAAAGGTACAATAAGTACAAACACACAGATATATTTATATTTGTGTTATTACCACTGCCTTGGATTCTAGTGTTTACAATGTTGAGCCTTTCCTAACTGCTACTGAAATTACAGTAAGACTAAAGCCTGCGGTTGTGCTGTGAGCTTTGATTTAGCAAGTGCTCTGGCAGACACTTAGAGACAATGTAAGTGCTCTCATTGTTTTTGATGAGCTTTGAATAAGACCTCGATGTCAACTGTCCTTACAAAAGAGGGTATGTGGCTGGGCAAAACTGAATTGTCTGTATTTCTTGTTCTGTGATGAGCTGCTCCATGGACTTCCTTACTTTCATTACTTAGATGACAAAGTAGTCTGAGACAAACCTAGCAGAGTGTTTTTACAGCATGTAGAAGAATGGATTTCAATTTATTATCACGGAACAAACTGTAGTTCATAATTTTGGAGGAGATTGAACCACATGATCAACACAAACTAACCTTGAATCCTATGATAACAGTAGATGTGACATATATTTTCTTGGAATATTGTAATACTTCTTGCTGTAAACTTTTCCTTGTATATCCTGTGCTATTTATCATTAATTAATTAATTGTAAATACTGAATGACAGAGTTAGCATGAACATAGACAAATACCATTTGCTGTTTGTTTCATTTCAGTGTTATTAGTCCATCATTCTTAAAATACTGTATTTTACTTCACCAATGACCATTCAGATTTATTCTTTACGCAGAACTTTCCAGACTACCTTTTTCTCTTACTACTTAATTACCAAATTTAATTATTACATTTCTGAACATCGCACAGTTTAAGATTCTCTTTTGTGAAGTCTTTCTCCTCAATATTTTCAACTTAAAAATTTCTAAGGGCCATTGCAGTGCTTAAATCTTAATCGAGCAAAATCTACTATAATTCTATGTTTTATAGTATATATTAAAAAGAAATTATGTGGATCACAATGAAAGGAGCATGCAGTTAGCTGTCCATGCCAGGATAAAAAACCCTCCAAACAGTCAGTGATCATGCCGATTAATACAGAAATTATTCTAATTGAATAGGCAAATGGTTTTTGAGGAAGAAATTAGTGTATACTATTCTCACAACATGTAGAATTTTATTGTTTGAAATGTCTACTCACTTTCTGTTGATATAAATATTAGCATATCTGACCAAAAATGGACTCTAGTAATGCTTTGTTCAATGGATATTGGAATATATCAACATATATTGCACATAACTGAATTGATTTTTGGTACTTTATGTTTCATAACTGCAAGGATTTTATTGTACTGATGTTCAGCTCAGATGTATACTGAGATGTGGGTAAAATGACCCACATGCTACCCCAGCATTAATACAGAAAAATATTTTAGAAGATCCAAATATAACTCACTGCAGACTCTTCTCAGAAAATTTTATGAGAGAACTCTGAGATGAAGGAAGTGTTCCTGTAAAAGCAACAAACCTTGAAGAATGAATAATAAAATCTCTAAATACCATAATGCCATTAGCTCTTTGTTTCACGTTTATCAAGTTTGGTTCTGAAATATTATTGTGACTACTATTGAAATTACTGTCAGATGCAAAATATTATTGCAGTGTTTCCATTTTATAAGCACCTTGAATCTCTGATGAACTAATTTTTCTTTTTTTTTTTTCTTGGGGCTAGTCTTCTTTCTCAATAATAAAACCCCTTTCAAATCTTTATATCAAAAGGTTACAGTTCTTTCTTCTCTCTTTTTTTTTTTTTTGGTTGCAACTGCAGCTATAAGTATCATACTGTTCTTTTCAGAGGTAGTTTTTCTTTTCTTTCACTACACTCAGCTAGGAGTCTCACTTTTCTCTAGACAAGTGCTATTAGAAGCATTAGAAGGACTATCACCAAATTCTTTGATCTATGCAGAAAAAGCGTTTCACAAATCTAGATGATTTTTAAAGGAGTTGTATATTGAAATTATCATCACTAGTCCAGCATAATTTTCTTATTTTCAATCATTCGATTGATTTCTCTTTATTAACACTAAATCTTTGTGACTCCACAGCAGCCAATATTGAAGAGGGCTCAAGTTGCTAATATAGCTGAGGTACTACAAGTTTTGTGAAACCCAAGCAGGAGAAGAGAGATACAAACTTACATAATGGGAAAAATATGGGAAAAAATCTATGCCTATAATGGGAAAAAATCTATGCCTTTACTGGCTGTCAAGCATCTTTGCTATTGCTAGATGCTAAGCAGCATATTAATATTATTGTGCTTGTCTCTAGATTATTAAATTTATCACAGGAAATGTAGTGAGTAATAATATATGACACAATGCCATCCATTTTTTCCATTGTTCACAGAATTGCCTGTTAATTACTATTCATCTATTATTTATTCACTCATTTGTCACTTTTTGGAAATCAGACCACAGAATCCTGACTGACATTTCACCTAACATCTTTCCCAAAGGACAATAGGGCTACTTGGATGACATGGCACTAAGTTTAGATGTAGCAGAATAAAATACACAAGAGATGTAAGGAATAGGATGCAATATGAAAATATTTTTACTTGCGTTATGGACACATACGTTTTTATGCATGCAGATAAAGTGAACAAGCCTTTAAAATGCCCCACAATCCTTCAGCATAGTGATTATTCAGACAATTGTAAGTATTAAAAATTAATATTAGAAAGAGAACTATTAACAAAGAACACCACAGCATGTACATATACATTAGGTCTTGTGAAGCCAACCTGTATAGTAACCACTTTGTAACTTCTTACAGGAATTAAAACACAAATGTTGATTCTTACTACTGGTTAAATCTGTTTCACCTTAGCTTCTAAAACCACCTTAGACTTCCACTAATACAACAGACTTAGTCGATGGTATGTACTTTTGTCTGAAGTATTACAAAGGCAGAGATAATCTCCAAGACGTGATTTTTTTCTCACTTGCTTTCCCCCGTATACCCCAGAAACAGGATTTGTACCAACCTGACAAAACAAGACCTCAGGACTTGTCTGGGTTTGCTTGGGTCTGAGCTGGTTCTGTCTTGGTTACATGTTGCCACTGGCCACATAACCGATGTCTGACCCAAATGGAATTCACCTCAGAGAATCTCATGGACAAGGGAAGGGTCAACAGGCCTAGTAGTCCCTGCAGTGCAAACCTTTCAGGTTAACTGAAGGTGGGAGAGGAACTTGTGCCATTTTTAATCTTTAGCTGTAGACTGACATGACAGAAGCAGACTGTCATGAGAAACAAATAAACAGAGCCCTTAGATGGATCAGAGACTGAGGAAAAAAACCTCATCATGAGCATCATCCTTTATCCAGAGAAGGACTTCGGATGTTGATGCCTATTGTGAGTCTCTCTACTATAGTATCATTTTAGAAGCCAGAGGAACACTGAAAAATTCAAAGGAAGAAAAGGGCAGACAGTAGGAAGTTTTCTTAGATAATAACAGTTATATTACCAACAAAGCTTTTTCTGCATAAATTAATTTGGATTGTTAGGCTGTTAAAACATAACTGTACTAACAACAGATCCTTGCCTCCATGTATGAAATGGGTTCTCTTTTGCTCCCAAAGAGGGTAATGAGTGCTTTATTACTGCTCTTGGACAGTAATAATTTACTGCTGTCACCAAGGCATTACCTCACTTTACACTGCAAGCTGAGTTTGGGTGCACAGTCACTGTCTTACCTGCAGTAATGGTATTTTATGCAGGGCTAAAAGACGGGTCTTATGTTCATGTATGAAGCATAGTCCTAATTAAGAGATTTTCTTAGCTATACTCCTTTGTCTGTGGATAGCTAAATTTTCTGTGTCTGGCCTTCAACAAGGAGAGCAATAAATATGCATCCAAACCCAAAGTAATTTCTCATTGAAGTTTTCTACATCCCTCCCCGTGGATCAAATGTTAAGCCTCTAACCCATTTTTCTTTTTTTTTTCTTTTTCTTTTTTTAAATTTTCTTCTTTAAATATAACTCTTACCATGTCCACCATGGATAAAATTATTGCTTTTATTTTAGCTGGCTTCCTTCCTTGGGATCTACTGATAAACTATTTTTCACTTGTTTCCCCATTTTTCCTTCCTGTCTACATGTGGCAGGCCCTTTTACTATCTTATTCTTAAAGACTAATTTAGTTCCAACATACTCTCTTTTGATTTAACCTTTCTCTTTCCATTCACTTCTACATCTCTTTCCCATCTAACCTTTATACATTTATATCTTGCTTTTGAAGGAAGATTATGTGATCAAATTATAACTTTTCATCTCGCACTACTTCTGATGTGCTATTTAATAACCTTGTTTCTATTTTGAAATCTTCATGCTGATGTAGAACTTCTCTTCCAATATACTTTATACGCATTAAATTTCCATGAGATCATTTTTGTAGGAAGAATTATTAAAAGCTTTGCTTATTTTCAGTGCCATCAAGCTGTTCTTCTGGACGTATGATGAGGCCCAGCAGAGTAACCAGATTACTGCATGGCAGAAGTTTTTCTCACTGTGAAAGTACCTTGTCAAATT